GAAACACAACTGTGCTTAGTTGCTTTTTATTTCAACTAGAAATTTCATTAAAATTTACCCTGAAGATGAAACTGGAGTCACAATACCCTATTTGGAGAAGAGTGCGTTTTCAATGAAGTTAAAATACAAGAAATGTGTGATCTGCAGATTAGGGAGGTGTGGCTGAATCAAGATAATGCTTTTAATACTGCAGTCAGATGACATGAAGGCTATTGGATGTTATCTGGTAGACAGTGGGGACTTGTGGAAGCCAAGGGATGAAGACAGCTTGAATTCAGAGAGTGGCAATGAAACGGAAGAATGAGTTTGAGAAATCCATGATCAATTTGGTAAAGTGGAATGATTCCTGGTGACTGTTGGGTACACAGAGTAAAAAAAAGACATAGTCAAAGGTTACTCTGAGGTTTCCAGATTGTAAGAATAGGTAAGTAATAAGGATCATAATACATTTGAACATTTTTAAATTTTAAGTGTCTGTAGGACATTAACCTAGAGACATTTAGGAAATAGCTACAAAGAATAATAATTAACATTTATTGCTTACTTCTTATATTCCAGGCATTGTGCTAAATACATTAGATGTATTAACTTACATGATATGCAAAACATGAGGATCATGAATCAGATTTTATTTTTACAACCATTTTTAAAGACAAAAAATTGCCCAAAGTTACTAAGGCAGAGAATACTAGTTGCCTAGCAAACATTCATTCTTCCCTTCATCCTTAGTAACAGAATCCCCCTTTTTTTAGCCACCAACAGTAAGGACAATATTTCCTACCTCCCTCACATTCCAGTCATGAGCTGTCAGTGGAAGTGTTGTATGATTTAGAAAAGAAACTGGTTCTCCAAAAGCTCTTTGTTGTCTTCTTTGCTGCCTACGATGCAACTGCACAGGATTAGAGCTCCATCTTAGACCATAAGATATTCGTAAGAGAACTTCTAGGATAAAATCACCCACTGATGACCATGAAGCAGAAAAAGTCAGAGGCTGAATTTCTGAAGATGGCTTGGAACACCGTATTAGCTCTGGAGTGCCCATCTCCTGACTTCTTCTAGATCGAAAAAAATAAACAAACGATTGTTTAAACCACTATTGGCAGTGTGTGTATGAGAGGGGGAGAGGTCTCTTTTTAGAGCCACTGGGAATTCCTAAATGGCAGTCGCCTGTTTAATAAGTAGCATATGGATCTGAGAGCATGTCTTTGATTCTAAATCCTATGATCTTAGCAAAAGGGCTTGACTACTGAGGAGAGAGGCTAAAGCTAGGATGCAGACTGTCAATGATTAGTTGGTTTAGACATATCCTAACAGATTTTGTTATTTCCTTTATTTAAAAAATACAAAATAATTAGCATCATTATAAAAGGGAGGTATAATCATTAGATACACATTCAGATGATGGAGAATTCACATTTACCAATTTTAGAAAACTCAATCCCAACAATCCTAGAATTATTGGGAATAGTTTCAACTTCCTGTTGAGGCCCTATACCACATTTGAATCAAACAAAGCTACTGAAGAACTGGCAAATTACCTATGTATTGAGAATAGGAAATAAACTAGTTCTTTCTTTTCTAAATTTTAATTATAAGGAAATCTAATTCTATAAAGAAGTGAAATATCAATGATTTTGCAGTGAAGTGTGTTTCCATCTAAAAATATCCCCTGTCATCTCCTATCAAAATCTTTAATAATTTATAGTCTGAAATAAGTTATTTCAGAGAGATGTTTATAAGATATTTCTCTATATTGCTTACTTGCTAATGTTAAACTAAAAAGTTAATAATCTTTTATTTTTACAAGAAGAATTGCAAAATTATGATTTCCACCTTCAGTTTTATCTTCAAGTACTGGAGTATTCTAGAGTTGGTGGGAAATGCTTCATTTAATTAGGGTCTCTAAGCTGAATATCTGAAAAGATACTGTAGTCTTGTGTTTTGGGGTTAACAACATCCTAAAAAATCAAGAGTTTCTTGGGACTAAGAATACAGCTCAGGGATAGAGTGCTTAAGGAAGAAGAAAAGAAAGAAAGAGAGAGGGAGGAAGAAAGAAAGACAGGGAGGAGGAAGGGAGGGAAGGAGGGAGCAAAAATCAAGAGTTTCTTTATAGAATTTAGGGAGATTTTTCAAGATAAAAATGTGGATTTTTCCAAAGAGAAATTATACTCTTGCTAAAATATTATTTTTGAAGTTCATGAAGTTAACTAGAATTCGCGACTAGTCTTCGTAGCAGAGAGATGAGACAAATGTATTATTCTATGTAAAGTGACCACTGCTATATTTTAAAGGATCCTCATAGTTCATAGTTTTAACAACATTACCGCCAGTAAGTGAATGTATTTCATTTTGATGATTTCATATATTGCATTAATGAGAAAAATTGAGGCATATTATCTTAGGATCTAAAATATTGTGCAATTATAAGTTTTATGCCAGCTTTCAAGTAATTCAGTTTTGCAAAGATAGTAAAGGGAAACGAATCTAGACAGATAGTGTGTCCCTTAACAATGAGAGAAAGTAATTCTACTTAACAATTGGTTTTCTTCCTGCAGAGTTGCATGATCGGTGAAAAGCACTGGATTAATTCCACATTCTCTCTGCTTATGTATGTTTTTAACATTCTCTGGAGTAAATATGCTAGCAGTAAGCACACAGTTCTTGGGGGAAAATGCATATTGTAGGACACTCTCTAAGCCCTCCATAGTGACTAAAAGCAAACATAATAAAACAATCTGACATAAATTCAGTACTTCTCTATTTACTGAATCTTCTCTCAGCACTTTAAAACATGCAAATCATATTCCAATGCATTCTTAATGTTTGACCCAGATTACACAAAAGAATACAAGGGTAATAAAAATCTTCATATACTTTATTTGCAAATATGGAAAATAAAGATGGGTGGTAAACTACTACAACCATAAAGTCATGGATTCTTCCTCTTAATTTCCTAGTTTCATTAGCTGCTAACTAATAGAACTTCCTGGGTTTCAGGTCCTACTATAAATTGTCCTCCAAGATTTTCTGAGTACACCATTACCACATGTTTGTCTTCCCAGTAATTTTGCAACAGTGGTGTGACATTGTAGGCAAAACATTCCATAGGGTTAGAGCGCTGCTTGAGGGAACCAGAGGAATGCAATCATCACCCACAAATGCACCATCTGCTGTGTCTTACTGCTTAATTAAACTAAAACTGGTAGGTTCTTAATTCTCACAGCTCATAAAAATAAAGGTCACAACAGAGCATTGGTATAGTGCATCATCCACATAACATACAATTGCTAAAGTATATTTTACCAACCTGTCACTCAAAGAAAAAAAGAATTGTACCTTTGAGCTGACGTCAAAGTGTAGCATGATTCTATCAGACTGACATCAGATCAATGATAGGACAGCTGAACTGTCAGCCTGACTCAATAGAAGGACAGAAGGTTCAATTCTCAGCCATTGTTCTTTCCTCTTCTCTCACAACACTTGCCAAAAAAAATTCTTCCACACATTATGAAGCTGTTTGTTTAATCATTCATTTACCTGTTCTTCAACCATTTATCAAGGGTTACCATATGCAAGGTACTTCACTTAATATTTTGGAAGATACAAAGATGAATCACATATAGACTAACATAGCTGGTAACGACTTCATTATATACAGCCTCATTTTATATACATAAATAGTTTATTGAGAGATGATTCAAATAACACAGAAGTCATCCATTTGAAGTATATGTTTTGGTGAATATTCTAAGATATTCACAGAGCTGTGCAACTTTTACTACTTAATTTCAGAACACTTTCTTCATCCCTAAAAGAAATTTATATTCATTAGCAGTCATGCTCAGCTTTCTCCTGCCCCTGGAAACCGTCACTTACTTTCTATAACTTTGTCTTTTATGGAGATTTCATATATATAGTATCATAAAGTATGTAGCCTTTGGGCTTCTTTTATTTAGCATATTATCAAAGTTTGTCCATGTTATAGCAAGTAGTACTATTTTATTTTTAATGGCTGCATAGTATTCTGCTGTACGGATAGTCCCCGTATTATTTATCCAATTATCAACTAATGGACATTTGGATTGTTTTATTTTGGGTTATTATGAATAATGCTGTTATGAACATTCATGTAAATGTCTGTGTAGGCATGTGTTTTAATTCTCTTGGGTGTACAGCTAGGAGTAGAACTGCGGGACCATTTGATAACTCTATAACACTTTGAGGAACTGCCAAGCAGTTTCCAAACTGTCTACACCATTTTACATTCCCACTAACAATGTATGAGGATCCATTTTTTTCACATCTTTGCCAACACTTATTATGGGTTATATTTTAAAATTTTACCCATTCCAATGAGTATGAAGTGTTATCTAACTGGGGTTTTGATTTGCATTTTCCTAGTGACCGATGATGTTGAACATCTTTTTATTTGGCTGTTTGCTGTGCATATATCCTCTTATAGGAAATGCACTTTTATTTTAAGCAACTTTTAATCAATCATTTGGTGGAAATATATGAAATATTACATTTGGACTCTTTCAACACCAATGTGACATTTCCCATCAAACAACTAATATATTTTCTTACCCTCAGGTTCCTTTTGATGTTTAAATAAAGACTAATGCAAATGTCTAAAAATAGAAAGGCTGTGAATTCCATAGTGCCATTTAACGTTGGGAGTAAGAGGATGGGTGAAATTGCACCTGACAAGATAGCTCTTTCTAGCCAATAGCCTATTTCCCACATCTACTGGAAGTCAACTAGCAAGAATTTCTGAACAAGACAAATGACTCGGAAGAGGCTGAATTACAGAAAATTCAAGAGGATGAAATGATAGTAAAGAGAACTAAGGATAAACTCAGTTTCAGAACAAGGAAATTCAGAAATGTTAGAGAGGTAAAAAATCAGAACTAGACTGATTTGGACTGAAGATAATTATTTGCCAGAACAGTGAATGAATTATGATGTCATTTGCCTAGAAGCAGAGGGAGGAGGAGAACCAAAACAGAATATAAACATGCTGAAAGAGGACCAGTCATGTGGCAAGTGGTTTTCATTGCCTTTTTAAAGGAAGAGTTATGAAAAAGGAAAAAAGTAAGATCAATCTCAGGTGATCCACAAAAGATTTGATCTAGAATAGTAGGTCTGTGGTATAGGGCAGGCAAGGGGAGAACCATACAAAGAACCCAGCTGGATGCATGAACAGAGTTCAGGAAAGGGTCTGGATGAGAGGTGCTAGTGGGAAAAGGAAACTTCAGTCATTCAATAGCAAGGAGCAAAACCCTACATTGTTCTTAACTCCTTTCAAGCCAAATCACTACTTAGGAACAATGGGGAATTTAATTCAGTGATCTAGTTATGAGAGGCTGATGAATGAAAATAATTGATTCTCATTATCTCTTCAACATTCTTAATGCACCTGTAAGAGTGATCACGTGCTTTTCTTTAGACATCTCTGAACTGAATCATGCATCTTGAACTCTCTTTACTCTATAAGCTGTTTAACTTTCTAACATTTCTCTCCAAAGAATACAAAAAGAAACAAAACAAATACACAATGTCTACAATAATAATGATGACCTGGATGCCACACTCCGCACAAGAAACAAAGGAAAGCAAAACTGTGAAGAAGTCAGCAGTACCTTACATGCTCTATACTCCGTGGCCTCAAATCGATAACCCTGCTCTCTCTTGTTGGTGTGTCCATGGAAAAGGTGCATGACAGCAGAAACAGACAGAGACCTTAAAAAGCAATTAAGGGTGAGGAATCTCCTGCCAAACAGCTAGTACAGATGTAACCTTTTTTTCCCACAGAGCTTAGCCTTATTCCATGGCCAAGAAGTTTGATAAATACTGTATGTTGAACAAGTGATCAAATTTATAAAAACTAAAGATGAGGAATGACCAATGGGAGAACCCAGGTGCTTCAGAGGGAGCTGAACCAGTTATTGTGTTTCCTGTTTCCTGTAGGTGGCGCCAAACTCCTTGAAGAAGAATCAGAGAAAGCAAGTTAAAAGGCTGGTTTATGTGTCTACATTGAAGCGCTGAAGAATTTGCTTGTGAGTTGGCAATTTCTCTTTCAAGGCAGCTCTTCTTCACTGGTATTGGCAAGCTCTAGATTTCAGAACTGATTCACCTGCACCGCGTTATTTATGAGCTGCTTTTTCCCTTTAAGTGCCCAGCCTTACATTAACAGTATGACTAGCTTCACTGCAGAGCTCAACTATGTCCATCACATAAATGGAAGGTTCATTAGAGCATCTATTAAAAGGATTTTCAAAGGTAAAAGAGCATTTTAAAACCATTAGGGTCCCTTAAGTTAGGTTCTACAGAAGAAATGTTACAGAACTGCTATTTAATGCCATCAACCAGACACAATTGCCACAGGTAATCAACAGTAATTTGGATTACCTTGCCAAAGGTCCCTGCCAAAAAAAGAAGCCATTGCGGATAGTGAGGAGACAGAGGCTTGGTCAAACTGGAATAAAAAGTGGATGAAGAGAAGGGTGAGTCTCTGAGGGCAGACAACGGTAAGCACAAGTTAGATAGTTTGTCCCAGGTTTTCACTAGCATCATCTAGATCCGATTTTTATAACAAACAAACATTTGCTGCCAACCTCCTAAATTTTTTAAACAACAGCAGCCAAGACTGACTTCTATTCGGCACAATTACATAAGACCAAGCAGTGCATTGCTCTCGTTTTTGAAGCTTTGTTTTAAGCTCCCTCATTAATCTTTCAGTCTTTTCCCATCTCTGCCTGACTATAACTGCCCTGAATTTATCCAAGCCTGCAGCATGCCAGGCTCACTGGTGTCTAAATCACTGAGAGCTGAATACACATTCTACTCATGGGACTCTACATTTCCATCAGAAAGAACCAATCACAGCTTAGGAGAGGTAAACCTCTTTTTAATTGTATTCTATGATACTAACAGGCATTCATTACACATGGACCTTAAAACAAGATTTGCTCTTGGCTGCTCATAATTGTATTTCTACAGCAGTTTAAACCGTTGGCACCTGCAATTGCTAGCAGGCCTGAGCTAAGAATTTCTATTATCCCAGTTTCAAGGGTTACATTTAAAATAAAACTCAGAGGGGCAAAACATTACATACACACATATTTACACAAATTAAATACTATGCACAAGTCAATACCTTCTGCACACAAAACTACATTAAACTCAATTAGCCCTAAGCAAAACTACAGGAAGCAGGATTTCTGTGAACCAACAGAGCTGTTCTGTATAATAAAGAATATAAAAGCAGCTAGATTATAGAATTCTGCAGAAGTCAATAAATGTTTTTTAAAAAATCATTATCAATCCTGATCTCTAAATTAATTAACTTAAGCAAAATTAACATAAAACAGTCCATCTCAAGAAATTTATACACAGATAACCTCTGACTTCTGAGTGCTAATAAAGGAGGGCTTTTAGCATATCTAGGTTGTTCAGAGCTTTTCCAGAAAGATATTCCTAACAATGAACCACAAAAGTGCCACCAAACTAAAGTACAATGTCCTTCTTGTTATGGTTTCCTACTTAATTATGACCAAAATTAAATTATACAAATATTTCACTAAATATCTCTCAAACCTTATAAATATTAATATGAACTCAATCTCCTATGTGCCCAGCATTTAAAAATCCATTTAAAAATCTTGGAAACTAATTTAAGATTTCCATCTAGAATACAAATTAGCAAGTCCTCTTCCTAGCTGTTTTGCTCAGCACCCATATCTGCACATTTAGTACTGAATGTCAGTTGGTAGCACTTAAAGATGATGAATATTAAAAGCATGCTTCTGCCTGCTAACATATTAGAGCTCAGCAACCACTGAATTTGTCAGAAGCTGCATTTTCAGTGAACAAACTACTGCCTTTAAAACACCAAAGCATTCTGTACGTTCCCAAATTGTGAAAAGGGTACACAGAGGTTAAAATTTTACCATTAAATATATTATCTGGGAGGACTGTACCACATTAAAATCTTTTCTAAAACTTACCATTTTAAAATACCACTTTGCTATGCCTTTTAAAGTATTTACATCAGGACTGTATCTGAACAATAATGTCAGCTAATATTAAATACCCATTATGTGCCACGCTCTGAGCTAAGCATTTCATATATATGTAGGTGTGTATAATAATGTGCTATTTTCATATACATGCTGTTATGCACATATCACCTTTACATTCACACTACCTTATTTGTATACATGCATACTATCTCCACATATATGCTACCATATCAAATTCTCCACCAATAAGTTGAATGGTTTTGTTATCCCTGGAGACACACAATGTAGTTGAAGTAATAAGCAAATGAAAGAAGAGCAATTCAACCCAAGTCTGTCTTCAATCTATACAGACTATGGAGCCAACTTTCTGGCTTAAAGAGTTGGGTGTGGCAGTGCAGCCTATAATCCCTTCTATTGGGGAAGCTGGAGGATCCCCAATAGATCCTCCTGGAGGCAGGAAGATGACCAGTTCTAGGCCAGCCTTAGCAACTTGGTGAGGCCCTAAACAACTTAGTGAGATCCTGTCTCAAAATAAAAACTTAATAAGAGACTAGGGATGTAGCTCAGTGGTACATGCCCCGGGTTCAATCCCAGTGCCTGGGTGTGGGGGAGGGTGGCAGGAGAGTTGCTAAAGCAAGAACCACACTTGCTCACTCTTGTTGGGTCCAGGAGCTTTGTACCTATTTTACATCTGTACTAAAAAAGCCTTCTCATCTGTAAGTCATTCCCCCCCCCACCCTGCAAGGATTCATTCATCCAGAAAACTAAACAAAAATACACTTTGAATGGAATACACTAGCTTATTTAATTTTTTTAAACTTAATTAAAATGTCTTATTTGGATAACCTAGCTAGAATATGTAAAATCAGTTGGGTTACTCAAATTCCTGCACATCACACCTTTTCATAGCCAGTTGCCTGGTTTGAAAGGCAGGAGAGTATGACTGGATTGAGCTCTGGGACAGGGTTAGAAATACAACACACTACTTCCTTCTAACCTCCTGACAAGGCTCAATGTCCTTGCTTGTAAAACAATGATAATGTTAGTACCCATTTCACAGATTACTGAGTAGATAAAACAAAGGGATACATAGAGTGTGTTGGATACAGTGAGTACTAGCTATTATCTTTCAATTTTATCAAAACATCTTTGCTACTTTCTTGAAATGCTATATAGTTCTTTAATTTGCCTATTAAGATCTGTCTTACACTCAATGAGTATTTTTCCTGCCCAATTTTATGTCATCAGCTAGCCTTACAGCTCTCCAAATCATTCTAAATTATACTCTGTTTCCCTGGACTTTTGAGAGACTCAAATTCTTTTTCCAAATTATATACTAAGCTCTCCTTTGAGTTGATTTTTTGAGCTGCTTAATCACTTCTGTTGACCTCTACTTTTCACCAGATTGGCCAAATCTTTCTGATATGGAGACTTACAGAAGAACATTCTGAATTAACCTCTTAAGAACCTAAAAATTAGGACTCATTGAAGTCCCTTCTGATTTCTGCCTTCCCCAGCATTTACCACCATGTTCATTACCACATGCTTATCTGGACATTTCCTCCATTTCTTACATCATGGCAGATGTTTTCTCCAGATTTCCGAGTACATTTTTCTCTCCCTCTCTCTTTATAAAATAGGGAAGAAACAGTACAATTACTTAAAAGTTATTTAAAAGCTACTGTTTATAGATGAAATTACATCTTTCCAGTAGATAGTTAAGTTACAAGTCTTTATTCATTCCTCAACAAACATTTATTTAGTGCCTACCACATACCATAGGAGTTGGATCACATGCTTTTGGAAAAAAACAACAACAAGGAAACACTTTATGTGAATTTAGGTGCTAAATTCTGGTGCCTGCCTGTGTCACACAGTTGTTTGAAAGGAGTGCTATATAACGTTTAATCAAATTCATTAAATATTATTTAGATATGTTACATACATATGATTTATATTTCCAAATCCAATCTCTCTTTTTTGGGGGGGGAGGGGGCTGCTAGTAGACTTAAAAAGTCCCTATGAAAGTTGTCATATATTTTATGGGATGTGTTAATGAGATATAGATGTGGGCCTATAGACAGAGGAATGTGGAACTGTTTTGTTTTTCTGTAGCTGGATGGGATTATGGTGTTTTATTTGATTCTGGTTTCTGTATTGATTTTTATAGCCATTCTATTTTTTCACTCTTATTAGTTATAAAACTTTTACTAAACTTTCAACCACTATGTATCTTCTCAATGTAACCCAAAACGATCACTTTAGTCTTCTTTTAATGAAAGACTAGTAATTTAGCATTTTTATTTTCCTCAATGTACCAATCAGTTTTCTAGTTTAAAGACAAAAAAAGTCAATATCGTTCAATGTTAATTTGTAATTTGAATCTGCTGGGCATGTGGTGTGGTCTATCAGTACCCAAGATCAGATCTCTTTCGGATCTGAAAAATGCTCCTCCAGTATTTATCATAGTTGGTTCATTTGTTTTGCTCCATCTTCCACATTTATCCCTGTCACTTTCAGACTACTCTGTTTGCATTCTGGGCATTTTCCTGAAGCTATCCTCTACTACTGGCAGGGTTTTTAAAATAAAGACTGCTTTTTATTTACAATGAAGATTTATTTTACCTGTTATAGTTTTCATTTCATTATATCCTCTTCTAAATTCTCATTTACTAGATGCAGCTTCTTTAGGTGTCTTACTTAATTTACAAGGCAGAGATTTTCTAACTTGTTTCATAAAGCAAATCTATTTCAGAAAGGTTTTGCTGCAGCTTTTACAACTTCTTTGCTTTAGAGCTGTAGGGTTTTAATTATTCATCTAGAACAATTATTCATCTAGAACACAGACTTGGTTTCTTTTTTATATTCTTGAGCTTAGCACATTGACCTTGGTCCTCAGTGCCTACCACACTTGAGGATTGCTTAAAGTGCTTTCCAGCAATTCAGTTTCACTAATGAGTGGACAAATCTCTACAATGCTTACTGTGTGCTAGGCACTGATCTTGGTATTGGGGAATCCATGAGAATAACTCCACCTCCAAGCCCCAACTCTTCCTTCCCCACTTTTAGGAAGCTTAAGAGTTTAATGAAAGAGACAATAAAATTGTATGCTAGTGACTGATTATAAAGAGGTATTTGTAGATGTCATAGTGTCAAAAGCAAAGCCCAAGGATGGGTAACAAGTGCAAATTCTGATTCTTCACTTCAAAGTAATTAAGGTCACAGAGCAGCCTAGAACTTGCCTGGGAGCAAGGAGTCCCTGCATCCCAGAAAGAAGCTGAGGAAGAAAGAAAAGAGGCGTACACAGGGGGAGGGGAGGTGTTAGGCACCATTAGAAGTTCTTGAGCAAATTAGCTAAAACAATCAGCAGCACTAGAAATGAACAAAAAGAAACACAGGCCAGTACTGGAGAGCAGGAGGCCAATAAAAATGGGCAATTGAGAGGAGCCATCAGGCTGAGATGCGGGTTGCTGAAGAAGGAGCAACTCAGTCTGATTTCAACCACAGGAAAGAATGCAAAAATTCCTTCCAGAAACTAGAATGGGCTCAATGCCTGATACTCACTGTGGTTCTGGGGATTTGTTTCCTTTTCATACAATTTCATGGGTATTTTAAAGGAAATAAGGAAGACATTGTTCGAAGCACTTCCACTCACTCTGCTGTATTCTTAGAAGTCAGTGGTTCAATCTCAAATGAAACTTCTCACTAACAGTAGGTTTAGTTATTTATGCTCTCTAAACAATGAGTGTTTTTAGGCAAAGATTTTCTAGCCTATCCAACTAAACAAAAGAGCCTCCCACGCAGAGACACACATTTCCATTCCGAAAGCCCTGCAGGCAGATCTGTGAAGCTTGCCATCATAAGACTCATTTAATTTTAAATTAAATTAAGGGCCCAAAAGGTAAGCACATTGTTCAGGTTATTCCAACTAATGTCCTAAACTTACAATTTCAATGATTCTTCATCCAATTGATGACTCCTACTGTAATAAAGAATTCATGAACCATGGAACCAACTGACAAAAATAAAATAAATAAATATCACTCACAGCTTAGAAATAAGAAAAAAAAAAGCATTCACACAGTCCAGTTCCTAACTCACAAAGGGTAAATATCTGGGGAAATTTGTATTCAAGACTGTATCAAGACTGTACCTGTAAGGGAAAAAAAATGAGCATAAAAAGGATAATTTTCAGGAAGAACAAAGTTAGGAAGGTCCCAATTTCTGAACACTGTCAGTTGACACATAAATATCCACATAGACAAAGCTAGTTGAGATGATCAGATGTAACTAAAATGAAATATAGGCCTTTGTTCTTCTATATAGTTGTAAGGTTCCCCTCTTCAGGCTGGGTGGGCCAAATCTGATAAATTCCTTTATTAAACGC